TACGTCCAGACAGGAGCGAAATCATGTCTTCGACGTTTGAAAAATTTGGTTCCGACCCCTCGAAAAATCGAAAAACCTGAAGGCCAAAGAGAGCCCGGAGCGGCCACCTCAGAGAGTTGGTTTTCCCCGGGCCCCCAAAGCAGCCTCGCCCAGACGGCCTGGAGTTTGGGCTCCGAACTCGCCCCCAAGAAAACTGAGTCGTGCATCTGAGTTGGTCGGGGGTGCGTCGGGCCACCTTTTCCTGGCCCCTGCGTCGTGTCGGGGGCGGAGGGGGTGAGGGGTGGCCCCGGGCCCCCCGGCCAAATTCTGGAGTTCCACGCCCCTTTGGGGCCCCAGCGTCAAAAAATGATCCCAGTGCGACCCTACCTAGGAGTTGGAGCCTCTAGGAAAGCAACAGTAGTAGGAGCGGTAAACGCCGTCCTCCTTGTTCTCCTCATCGTCGCAGTTGTAGCAGTAGCGGTAGTAGTAGTAGTAGTAGTAGTAGTAGTAGTAGTAGTAGTAGTAGTAGTAGTAGTAGTAGTAGTAGTAGTAGTAGTAGTAGTAGTAGTAGTAGTAGTAGTAGTAGTAGTAGTAGTAGTAGTAGTAGTAGTAGTAGTAGTAGTAGTAGTAGTAGTAGTAGTAGTAGTTAGTTAGTAGTAGTAGTAGTAGTAGTAGTAGTAGTAGTAGTAGTAGTAGTAGTAGTAGTAGTAGTAGTAGTAGTAGTAGTAGTAGTAGTAGTAGTCGTAGTAGTAGTAGTAGTAGGTAGTAGTAGTAGTAGGTAGTAGGTAGTAGGTAGTAGGTAGTGGTAGGTAGGTAGTAGGTAGTAGTAGTAGTAGTAGTAGTAGTAGTAGTAGTAGTAGTAGTAGTAGTAGGTAGGTAGTTTAGTAGTAGTAGTAGTAGTAGTAGTAGTAGTAGTAGTAGTAGTAGGAGTAGTAGGAGTAGGAGTAGGAGTAGTAGGAGTAGTAGTAGTAGTAGTAGTAGTAGTAGTAGTAGTAGTAGTAGTAGTAGTAGTAGTAGTAGTAGTAGTAGTAGTAGTAGTAGTCGTAGTCGTAGTAGTAGTAGTAGTAGTAGTAGTAGTAGTAGTAGTAGTAGTAGAGTAGTCGTAGTAGTAGTAGTATCGTAGTAGTAGTAGTAGTAGTAGTAGTAGTAGTACGTAGCAGTAGCAGTAGCAGTAGCTAGTAGTAGTAGTAGTAGTAGTCGTCGTAGTCGTAGTCGTAGTCGTAGTCGTAGTCGTAGTAGTAGTAGTAGTAGTAGTTGTAGTAGTAGTAGTAGTAGTAGTAGTAGTAGTAGTAGTAGTAGTAGTGGCAGTAGTAGTAGTAGTAGTAGTAGTAGTAGTAGTAGGAGTAGTAGTAGTAGTAGTAGTAGTAGTAGTGAAAGTAGTAGTAGTAGTAGTAGTAGTAGTAGTAGCGCCAGAACCGCCGACGCCACGCTGTAAGTGAAGCAGCAGCAGAAGCAGGCAGCAAGTCGCCGAGACAGCAGCAAAAGCAAGCAGGCACGCCGATGAGGGCGGGGCACTGGGGAGTTCTTTACATCTACATCTATATCTACACCTACATATACATCGGCACCTACATCAGTGGAATAGCAGCAGCAATAGTGGATGCTGTGCTGCACTATGCTATGCTATGCTATGCTATGCTATGCTATGCTATGCTATGCTATGCTATGCTATGCTATGCTATGCTATGCTATGCTATGCTGCGCAATGCTATGCTGGGCTAAGCTAGGCTATGTTAGGCTAGGCTAGGCTATGCTATGTTATGCTATGCTGCGCTATGATATGCTGCGCTATGCGATGCTATGCTATGCTATGCTATGCTATGCTATGCTATGCTATTCTATGCTTTTGCTTTGCCTTCGCGTTTGCCTTCACTTTTGCCTTTGCTGTTGCTTTTGCTTGGCACCCAGGGAGCGCAACTGGGGGAACCGCGCGTTTGCTTTTACCTTTGATGTTGCTTTTGCTTGGCTCCCAGTGGACCGGGGGAACCGCCTGGGGCGGGTTCCACTGCCCGGCCCCTTTAAGCAAAGAAAGTAAGAACCCTTCCAGGCAGAGCCTAGGTAGGGAAAAAACCTTGCACCAGGCCCCAAGCCTCGAAAACTACGAAATATTGTTGTTTGAGGCTGCGCGGTCTACTGGGGCCTGACTGGACAAATTCCCCCCCCCCCCCTCTCTGGAAAACAAAGGGGGACAAATTCCCCCCCTTCCCCGCGAACCAGGGGGTGAGGGGGCACCCCTCTTGCCGGGAAACTGGGTAAGGTGGGGGGGGCATAGAAGCCCCATCCCCTGGCTGTTCGAACAGGGCCCAGCAATGGTACAAATGACACTCAAATAAAACAAAGTCCGACCACTGTGGTACTACTTCCAACTACTTTGGTACTAATTCCAAGAAGCTTGAATGAGAATCCTTTGCGAGGCGACTGGCATGCGTCTCTGCGAGGCGTCTTCCTCACTGCAGGCGTGTTACAAGCGTCAACGCGAGGTGTCTTACAGGCGTCCTCCAAGTGCCTCTGCGAGGCGTCTTACGGGCGTCTCACGGGCACCTCTGCCAGGCGCCCTACAAGAGTCCTACGAGCGTCTCACAGGCGCCTCTGCGAGGCGTTTTACAAGCGTCTTGCAGGCGTCCATCTCGCAACGCCTGGGGGCCCGGAGAGGCCACGCGCCAGAGATTCCTCTCGCTTCGCGGGGCGCGCGTCTGGACCACGTGCGGGCCAGCCGCTGTGGGGGCTCCTGGGAGCCTCTTGGGAGCCTCTCGGAGGCCTGTCGGAGGCCTCTTGGGGGCCTCTCGGAGGCCTCTTGGGGGCTTCCTGGAGGCGTGATTCATCGGCTTACGCCGCACTGCCAAGACGAGGGCTTGTCGGAACGTGCCTCCTGCAAGAACTCCTCATTCCACGACCTCATCCTTCTCAGTCCTCAGAGTCTTCCTCATTCATTAAGTTTTCCCCCAGTCCTCAGGCCTGTCCTTCATTTCTCAGTCTTCACATTCCACAGGTCCCTCCTCATTATTTGGCCTCCTCCTCATGCCCTGACCCAAAGGTAAGCAGACAGAGGGTTCGGAGGCTGGGGGGGAAAGGTTGCGAAATATGCCGACGCCTGACCGTTGGCCACATCCTGGGCTGGGAATTGTGCAGTTGCCCACATCCCTGATTACGAACGGTGCTCTCGCTGGAGCGTCGGCCACAACTACCTGCTAAGACACGTATTGCTTCCATCATTGAGGGTCGTGTTGTCCAGTGGTATCATGTCTTCCTCTATTGTAGTGGCCTTCGGCCAGTGCCGCCGATCCGGGGCGCTCCGACTGATGTGATCCTTCTTCGCCCTCGTCCCTCCTCTCTTTTTCCCTCCCCTCCTCTCACTCAGCATTTATCGAAGACGCCTACGGCGAATCACCGCCGCCCCCTGCCTTTTTGGAAACGCCGATGTGGCCGAAAGTTGGACTAGAGCTTGGCCAAGCTATCGGACCATGAGTTCCCCGAGTCGGTTTGGAAAGCTTTCGGGGAACACATGGGAGAGAATGATTATGAACAGGAAGAGGAAGAGGAAGAAATAGAGTAGGAGGATGAGGGTTGTTAGGAGTCTCTTGGGGCACCCTTGGGGTCTGTTGGGGGCTTCTTGGGGGCCTCTTCGAGGCCTCTTGGAGGCATCTTGGGGGCCTCCTTGGGCCTCTTGGGGGCCTTTGGGGGCTTCCTGGGGGTCTCTTTGGCCGTCTTAGGGCGTTCCTGGTCCGTCTGACGCCGTCTGGAGCCGTCTTGGGGGCCTCTCTGGGCCGTCTTGGGGCCCTCTTGGGGCGCTTCAGGGCCGTCTTGGAGGCCATGTTGGGCGTCTTGGAGGCCTCTTGGGCCGTCTTGGGGCGCTCTTGGGGCCGTCTTGGGGGGCCCTTGGGCCGTCATAGGGCCTTCTTGGAGGCCTCTTGGGCGATCTTGGGGGCCTCTTGGGCCGTCGGAAGGCCGAAAAGAAGAAAACGCAAAAAACCTTCAAAAACCTAAGGAAAACCAATGATTTTGGCCTCTTCGGGCTCTCCTGGAGAACGTCTTGGAGGCCTCTTGGGCCATCTTGGAGGCATCTTGGGGCCATCTTGGCCGTCTTGGAGGGCATCTTGGGCCGTCTTGGAGGCATCTTGGAGCCATCTTACCCGTCTTGGAGGCCATCTTGGCCGTCTGGGAGGCATCTTGGAGGCCATCTTGGGCCATCTTGGCCGTCTTGGAGGCCATCTTGGGCCAAGTTGGGGCAACAAAGGCATTGAGAGACGGATTTTGGGAAAATTACGGGTGGCCGGCGGGACGGGCCGAAGCCCACTGGGGAGTTCTTTTAGAAAAAGAACCAAAACCAAAACCTGAAACGTCCAGCACGCCGTGCACCCCTGCAAGCAGGGGGCGGCGGATCCAGTGGCCGTCGGCCTATCCCGCCACCGTGCGTGGGTGGTGGGTCAGAGGCCTCATGGATGCTGGTTGGGATCTCGTGGTTGGCTGGGACTTCTGGGGGCCTCTTGGGCGCCTCTTGGGGCTTCTTGGGGGCCTCTTGGGCCTCTTGGGGCCACTAGAGGGCCTCTTGGGGGTCTCTTGGGAGCCTCTTGGGGCTTCTTGGGGGCCTCTTCTGCGCCCCTTGGGGCCTCTTGGAGGCCTCCTCGGAGCCTCTTGGTGCGGGAGGAGTGGCACTCGAGTTCGGAACCCCCTCGGAGGCCACGATCCTTGTGAGGGGTGTCAAAAAACGCATCCGCCGGAAACTCGCACCCCCCCCCCCCACCCCCCCTTCCCCGGCAGAGCCACCCCGGCAACCCCCCCAGAGGCTGAGGCTCAGCCTCGAGGCTGTAGCTGAGACTCCTTGAAACTCACACGCCGGATCGGCGTATTTCTGAATCACGCATAGTATAGATTCAGTAGCGCCGCCATCCGTACCCACATCTTGAAATCCACATGACCGCAGGCCGTTTGGGCACTCGGGAGGAAGGTTGCAAAATCGCAAAGCGCGGGCACGCTTGTCAACGTACAGTGAGCACCCGCTCTGCCCTTCCCCGCGCGCGCACCTTCGACAGCCAGCGCGACCTGGGCAGCGATGGCCGCATCTGCGGCTTCGACAGCCCCACCGGTCGCTGACTCGCGCCTGCCAGAAGGTGGTCTGGGGCTGTCCTGGCCGCTGCCGCCAACCTCCCAAAATGATGCCACCCTGGCCAGAAAACCGGCACGAACGCGACAAAGGAACTTACCATGGCTACTCCTCCTCCTCCACCTCCACCTCGTCCTCCTCCTGTTTCCGCATTCTCCACCTCATCATCCTCACCATCCTCATGATCCCCTATGCCCTCCTCCAACCTCCAGCCTTCCCCGTTCAGCAACGGCCGCGTCGGAAAGACTTTCCTCGGTGGCCCCCCTCTCCATCCTCCTCATCCTCCTTCTCCTCGTCCTCCTGCTCCTCCTCGTCAGCAGCAGCAGCAGCAGCATCATCATCATCATCATCATCATCAACAACAACAGCAGCAGCATCCTCATCAGCATCATCACAATCACCATCAGCATCAGCATCAGCATAATTATCATCAGCAGCATCAGCATCGCCATCACCATCAGCACCATCATCGTAATCATCAGCATCGTAATCCTCATTCTTATGATAATCATCATCAGCATCATCATTGACAGCATCACTATGATCACCGTCATCATCAGAATCATCATCCGCAGCATCATCATCATCATCATCATCATCAGCAGCATCATCCGCATCATCATCAGATTCAGCATCATCAGCATAGGCATCATCAGCACCATCGTCATCATCATCAGCATCAGCCGCAACATCATCATCGTTAGCATCATCATCATCATGATCAGCAGCAGCAGCATCATCCTCATCAACATCAGCATCATAATCATCATCATCAACATCATCATCATCATACTCATCATCAGCATCATCATCATCAGCAACATCATTATCTTCATCATCATGATTCACCTCCTTCTCCTCCCCCTCCCACCCCCCCCCCCCCCCCCTCCCCTCCCTCCTCCTCCCCCTCCTCCTCCTCCTCCTCCTCCTCCTCCTCCTCTCCTCCTCCCCTGGTTTTTCCTTCTCGTCCCCTCCCTCCTCCTCCTCCTCCTCCTCCGCCTCTCCGCTCCTCCTCCTCCTCCTCCTCCTCCTCCTCCTCCTCCTCCTCCTCATCCTCATCTTCCTCCCCCCTCGTCAGCAGCATCATCACCATCGTCATCATCAGCATCATCATCATCATCAGAAGCATCAGCATCACGATCATCATCATCATCATCATCATCATCATCATCATCATCATCATCATCATCATCATCATCATCAGCGTCATCATCATCATCATCATCATCATCATCATCATCATCATCATCAGCATCATCAGCATCATCATCGGCATCATCAGCATCGGCATCATCATCATCATCATCAGCAGCATCATCACCATTATCCGCACCATCGTCATCATCATCAGAATCAGCATCATCACCATCATCAGCATCATCGTCATCGTGAGCAACGGCATCAGCAGCATCATCAACATCCGCAGCATTACCCCCATCCGCAGCACCACCAGCCATCATTAACAGCATCAGCAGCATCATCATCCTCATCAGCATCATCATCAGCAGCAGCATCGAGCGCATCACCACCACGCCCACAACCATAATCAGCATCGCAATCTCACCATGGTCCAAATCACCACCACTAGCACAATCAACATCACCATCAGCATCATCCCTGTTGTCGTTATCAGCATCATGATCATCAACACCATCAGCATCAGCATCAGCATCAGCATCATCATCATCATCATCATCACCATCAGCATCATCAGCAGCAGCAACAGCATCAACATCAGCATCAGCATTAGCATCAGCATCAGCATCAGCATCACCATCAGTAGCATCATCGCAATCACCATCAGCCTCACCCCACCACGTCCACCATCATCATGAATTAAAATCCTCCTCTCTCCCGTGTTCCATCCCTCCCACCCTCCCCTGCCTCACCCTTCTCCTTCTCCTCATTTTCCTCCTTCCTCCCTCCTTCTTTTCCTCTCCTCCTCCTCCTTCTCGTCCTTCTCCTCCTCCTCCTCATTGTCCTTCCTCCTGCTGCCGCTCCTCCTCACGCTCTTCATCCTCGTGCGCCTCTTCCGCCCTTCCTCTTCCTTCGCCTCCTCTTTTTCCTCCTCCTCCTCCTCCTCCTCCTCCTCCTCCTCCTCCTCCTCCTCCTCCTCATCATCATCATCATCATCATCATCATCATCATCATCATGATCATGATCATCATCATCATCATCATCATCATCATCATCATCATCATCATCATCATCATCATCATCATCATCATCATCATCTTCATCTCCCCCTTTTTCCTCATCTTCCTCATTATTCGCCGCTCTCTCCTCCTCCGCATCCTCCTCCTGCCCCGGTTCCTCCTCCTCCTCCTTCTGCTGCTCCGCCTCCTCTGCACCATCATCATCAGCATCATCATCATCATCAGCAGCATCATCAGCATCAGCATCAGCATCAGCATCATCATCAGCAGCATCAGCATCAGCAGCATCAGCATCATCATCAACAGCATCACCAGCATCAGCATCATCCTTGACAGCATCACCAGCATCACCAGAACCAGCATCAGCATAAGCATCATCATCAGCAGCAGCATCATCAGCATCAGTTGCATCAGCAACAGCAGCATCGTCATCATCAGCAAAATCATCATCAGCAGCAGCAGCAGCATCATAATGATCACCAGCATCATCATCATCATCACCATCATCAGCATCATCACCACCGCCTGCAGCAGCATCGTCTTGATCAACATCATCATAACAATACGTTTTGTTCTCAAAGCTGCCAGGTACTAAAGTTGTTGACCATCGGCGGATACTTGCATAGCTGGCCCCGCGTGCCGTGGAGGACCGATTAGGATGCACGTCATCATCGGCACCAGCATCACCATAATCATAAGTAAAATAAGCATCATCATCCTCATCCTCATCATTAACATTATCGTCTTGATCAGCAGTATCATCACCACCATCAACGTCATTTGCAGCAGCAGCAGCAGCATCCATATCAGCATCATCATTACACTCAGGAAAATCCTCATCATCAGCCTTCTCCTCCTCCTCCTCCTCGCCCTCCTCCTTCTCTTCCGCGCAGTCTGTTCCGCCTCCTCCGGCTCATCCTCCGCAACCCCTCATCCTCCCCAATCCCCCTCCTCAACCTCAGCCTCCGCCTCCTCCGCCGCATCGTCGCCATCCTCAGGTGTCATCTCCCTCCGCTTCCCCATGGTGGGCTGCTGGAGCTGTCCGCAGGCCGTGGCGAAGCAGCGTGCAGGCCTGCTGGCACCCTGTCCCCGAGGCGGCCTGCCTCCCTGCCTGCTCCGCCTGCCCACGCAGAGTGCCAGGAAGAGGCGCAAGGCGCCGTCGTGCGCTGAGCCTGGCTCAAGGTCGAGCGTGTGCTGATTGACGAGGGCGTTCCACTACTCGCAAAGTAGCCACTCGCAAATGGCCTGGATCCGCCGCGGAGGATCTATGATGAATTACATCAAAGCGGCCATGTGTTTTTCGGACGTTTGCGAGCAGGCACCTTGCGAGTAGTGGAACGCGCTGGGTGAGTCGTGCGCTGAGCCTGGCTCAAGGTCGAGCGGGTGCTGAGCGTGTGCTGAGAAAGTGCTGAGCCTGGCCAGGCCGGTGCCCGTCCAGGGTCGCGCCGAGGCAAATCAGCCTGTGGAGCGGAGGGGGAGGTCAGGGGTGGGCTCTCCTGCGTCCCATCGCCTCATCAGCAATGTGGTGAGACGTGCCGTCGAGACCGGTCTCGATCATCACCAGCATTCTCAACATCGCTATCATCATCCCCACCATCATAATCATCACCAGCAGCGTCAACATCAACATCAACAGCAGTATCCACAGCATCTGAAACGCCAACCTCAACAACATCAGCCATCGGTGGAACAGCCTTTTTAGCACCACCATCAACGACAGGGGTATCATCAGAATCACCATCATCAGCAGCAGCATCATCAGCGTCATCATTATTGATCTTGTCATCAACAACCATCATCAACATCATAATCATCATCGATTTGAGCATCATCACCCGCATGCACATCCGTAACATCAACATAAGCAACATCATAGTCATCATCAAAGTCGCCATCGGCAGCATGGTCGTCGTCATGAACACATCACAAACGTCATCAAGGCCAACATCACCATCGTCATCATGATCATCATCATCGTCCTCGTCATCATTAAAAACAGCATCGTCGGTGCCAAATGTTATATCACTGTGACCCGCACCAGCATCATCATCATCATCATCATCATCATCATCAGCAGCATCAGCATCATCATCATCATCATCATCATCATCATCATCATAGCCACCATCAGCTTTATCAGCAGTAGCAGCGTCAGCTTGCGCATCAGTACCAGCATAACATTCATTATCATCGTCATTGGCATCATCAGCAGCATCCTCCTCATCATCCTCCTCAGCATCGTCATCATTGCCACCACCATCATCATCATCATCATCATCATCAGCATCATCATCATCATCATCATCATCATCATCATCATCATCATCGTCCTCATCATCATCGTCATCGTCATCGTCCTCGTCATCCTGGTCGCCGTCGGCGTCGTCATCGTCGGCTTCGTCGCCGTCGTCCTCAAGGGCCGTGGCAGAGCGCCGAACTCAGCCAAACGGAGAGCGAGTGAGACTGGCCAGGGCTCCTGCGTCGGGATCAGCCCGCGGCCGACGAGCGCGACGGGCACGTCGGCATCTCGGCAGGGAGGGACGGGTGGCGAGCCCGGCCAGCATGCTGAACGAGGAGGTGGAGGTGGGATGGGGCATTCGCGTATGAAGCGATAAGATATGGAGAGGGAGAGAGGGAGAGAGAGGGCAGAGAGAGGACAGAAAGAGAGAGAGAGAGAGACAGGGCAGAGACGCAGAGAGAGGGGTGGGATATAGAGAAAGAGAAAGAGAGAAAGCAGAGAGAGGAAGAGAGCGAGAGAGAGAGAGATAGATAGAGATAGAGAGAGAGACATATATACATACATATAAACACAAATATATATGTACATATGTATACACATCGGAGGTGAAGGGGTGAGATCGAAATGGAACAGAGAGCCCCCCTACCGGAAAATCGGTTTCGGTTTCGTGGTCGTGCGTGCCGTGGGTGCGGGCGAGGCGAAGCTGCGTGGGCGGGCGAGAAATATTCCGCATCTGGCTGAGGCGCGGCCGGACCAAATGTTTCCTGTCCGGGGCCCGGTGGCGCGCGGTGTCCCGCCCGTGTCCCGCCGGTGTCCCGTCAGTGTTCCGATGATGATGATGATGATGATGATGATGATGATGATGATGATGATGATGATGATGATGATGATGATGATGACGATGTTGATGATGATGATGGCCATGGTGGTGACGATGATGGTGTCCCGATGATGATGCGGTTGATGATGCTGATGTTGCTGATGATGATGATGATGAGGGTGCCCTGGTGATGATGATGATGATGCTGATGATCCTGATGATGTTGGTGATGATGAGCTGATGGGATGATGATGATAATGGAAATGATGATGATGGTGTCCCGATGATGATGATGAGGTTGGTGATGATGATGATGATGCTGTTGATGATGGTAATGATGGTGATGATGATGATGATGGTGTCCCGATGATGATAATGATGATGTTGATGACGATGGTGATGACGATGATGGTGTCCCGATGATGATGATGATGTTGATGATGATGAGGTGGTGATGCTGACTTTGATGATGGTGGACCGATGATGGTGATGATGCTGATGTTGATGCTGATGATGGTGTCCCGATGATGATGATGATGATGGTGATGATGATGGCGCCGATGATGATGGGGCCCCGATGATGATGCGGTTGATGATGATGATGATGTTGCTGATGAGGATGGTGTCCCGAAAATGATAATGTTGATGATGTTGTCCATGATTATGATGATATGATGTTGATGGTGGTGTTCCGATGATGATGATAATGGTGTCCCGATGATGATGAAGATGTTGATAATGATGGTGATGGTGACGATGATGATGTCCAGATGATGATGATGGTGATGATGATAATGGCCATGGTGATGATGATAATGGTGTCCCGATGATGATGATGCTGATGATGCTGATGTTGCTGATGATGCTGATGATGATGGTGTCGCGATGATGATGATGATGAGGTTGATGGTCCTGATGATGCTGATGATGATGAGATGATGAGATACTTATGATGATGATGATGATGATGGCTTCCAGATGTTGATGATGAGGTTGCTGATGATGCTATTGATGATGATGGCGGTGATGATGATGATGCTGTCCCGATGATGATGATATTGATGATGATGATGATGATGATGATGATGACGATGATGGTGTGCCGATTAGATGACGATGATGATGTCGATGAGGACGATGATGGTGAGGTGATGATGATGATTGTGATGATGGTGGCCCGATGAAGATGATGATCCGGATGTTGATGATGATGACGGCGTCCCGATGATGATGATGGTGGTGATGTTCATGGTGACGATGATGCTGGTGTCCCGGTGATGACGATGATGTTGATGATGATGTGGCTGATGATGATGATGGTGTCCCGATGATGATGATGCTGATGAGGTTGTTCATGATGATGATGATCTGATGTTGGTGGTGGTGGTGTCCCGATGATGATGATAGTGCCCCGATGACGATGATGGTGATGATGATGATGGTGACGATTATGGTGCCCCGATGATGATGAAAGTGACGATGATGATGATGTTGATGATGATGGTGATCAGGTGATGATGATGAGGATGGTGTCCCGACGAAGATGATGATGATGTTGATGACGTTGATGCCGATGATGTTGATGATGATGACGTTGATTGTGAGATCGATTGTGATATCGATAATGAGATCGATAGTGAGACCGAATGTAAGATAGATTGTGAGATCGATAATGAGATCGATAGTAAGATCGATTGTGAGATCGATAGTCAAATCGGTTGTGAGATCGATCGAATGAAATAGATCGAATGAGATCGATTGTGAGATCGATCGAGTGAGATCCATCGAGCGAAACCGATTGTGAGATCGATAGTGAGATCGAAAGTGAGACCGATCGAGTGAGACGCTGGTTCCTCCCCCCCGAACCTCCTTATCACCCGAAGGGTGGTCGTATAGATATACACATTAACACATGAAGAAGAGAGAGTGTGAGAGAGAGAGAGAAAACGAGACGTAGAGAGAAAGAGACGGAGAGGGCGAGGAGAGGAGACAGAAATACAAAGAAACATGTATAAATAGACGTAGATATGCAACAACGGAATGTTGTGTGGATATAGAGATCGAAAAAAGATCAAGAGAGGAAGGACAGGTCCTACCGGTACGCTTGTGTGGAGGGGGGGCGCCACGAACCACAAGCCACGGTCCCCCAACCATCACGGACAACCTCGGACCACAATTCGCGACACGAGCCACGGATCACGAACCGCATGGACCACCGACGTACAAGCTGGACACGAAAAAACACCACGAACCCCCGCGATCCACAAAGCACGCCACGACCCACGAACGGTGAACTACAAACAAGCGCGAACCACGCCACAGGCCAGAAAACACGACCGAGAAAATACACACAGCCAAAAAGACACCGTTGGCCAATTCAAGTGCATATGTCTTCTTCGCAGCAGGAAAAAAGAAATATTGAACTGATCCGCCAATTCTCGGCGAGCAGAACGTTATAGGGACCATCTCGATCTACGCTCGCGCTACCGCAACACTTGAAATTCACTAGGATCTTGTTCAGCATGGTGCCGCAACAACCCCCGACGGTCGCAAACGGCAACAAAAAGGTGCAGCCTTGCCCACGTCGCAGCAAACTCTGCGCATCACTGGGTGGCCAAGTCTTCCCGCACGGCTCCGTCGTCGAAGCCAGCAGTGCTGGAGCATAGGGCCTTCACTCCGAGACCACGGAACTCCACTCCGGGCCTCTGGCATGCAGCCGTGCACGCAAGTTCGTGTGGGCATGCCCGCGGATGCTGTCCCTCCCTCCGTTGGAGGGCTGGGCCATCTCCAACGGCACGCCCACGCTGGCCCGTGCTGTCTGGACCGTGTGCAGTGTCCAGTCCAGTCCTCCTCCTTCTACTCCCCCCCTTATCCTCCTCCTCCTCCTCCTCTACCTCCTCCTCCTCCTCCTCCTCCTCCTCCTCCTCCTCCTCCTCCTCCGCCTCCTCCTCCTCCTCCTGGAATTGTCCCGACCGGTCCGCCACCGAGGTTGCAGCGGGTGTGCGTCGGGCCTTGTCGCCCATCGCGATGCAGCACTCAGGCCCCCCCCCCTCCAGACGAGCTGAGCCCAAGATGCGTCCACTTGCCTGGCCAGGCCCCTGCGCTTGTCGGCCTCCCAGGCAGAAAAGGATCCCACATTGGGGGGCATATGGGGCACCCCGCGTTTTGAAGCTTTTTTTCCATGTTCCTGGCACGGGACCCCCGTGGGAATGGAGGAGGCCCTCTTGGGCCATTCCAAAGCGAGTCTTCCGCTTCTTCTTCTTCTTCTTCTTCTTCCGTCTCCTCAGCCTCCTCATCCTCCTCCTCGGGAGAAGCAGAACTACTCCTGATCCACCTTCTTTGGTCTCTTCGCTACCTCAGACCACTGGAAAAAAGCCAACTACCAAACTTCCAAAAAGGCAAAGTGTTGGGGAGATCCCAGACTGAAGGCGAATCCGTGCGAGACATTGTGTGTTTGATTGATTTGTGTTGCGCGCTTTGGCTGTAGGGCTAAGGTTTGCAGTTTCCTGTGCCAGTTGCAGCTTCCAGTTTCCACTGTTCTGCTTCTTGCTGATTGCTGTTCCTTGTTTACAGTTCTGCTTCTTGCTGCTGACTGTTCCTTGTTGATGGACCGCGCGTGGGGCGTGGGGGGGAGGCCCAAAGCGAGCATTTTTAGCACGCCCTGAGCGTGTTGTCTGAATTGCTGGGGTGGGTAAAAATAAACACCCCTCATGCAGATCGGTGGGGTCAGGGTCCAAAAACACAAGGGATTACCACATTTCTGAAATCCGGCGGCACCCCTCACGCGGATCGACAGGGTCAGGGTCCAAAAACACAAGGGATTTGCCACATGTCTGAAATCCGGCGGCACCCCTCACGCAGATCGGCGGGGTCAGGGCCCAAAAACACAAGGGATCTCCCACATTTCTGAAATCCGGCGGCACCCCTCACACAGATCGGCGGGGTCAGGGTCCAAAATCACAAAAGATGTGCCACACTTCTGAAATTTGCTGACACCCCTCACACAGATCGGCGGGGTCAGGGTCCAAAATCACAAAAGATGTGCCACACTTCTGAAATTTGCTGACACCCCTCACGCAGATCGGCGGGGTCAGGGTCCAAAAACATAGCGGATTTGCTACATTGACATTCGGTGGCACCCCTCACGCAGATCAACGGGGTCAGGGTCCAAAAACAAATGGGATGTCCCACATTTCTTAAATTCGGAAAATCCCCTCACGCAGATCGGCGGGGTCAGGGTCCAAAAACAAAAGGGATTTGCCACATGTCTGAACTTCGACGGCACCCCTCACGCAGATCGGCGGGGTCAGGTTCCGAAAACCAGGGGGATTCTCAACATTTCTGAAATCTGGTGGCACCCCTCACGCGCATCGACAGGGTCAGGGCCCAAAAACACACAGGATTTGCCACATGTCTGAAATCCGGCGGCACCCCTCATGTACTTCCGCGCGGTCAGGACACAAGAGACTTACAACATATTCAAATTCGGGGAGAAGACTTGGGCACAACATTGAAGGGGCCCTGGGACACACAAATAAATACACACAAATAAAAGAATTCCCCATATTTTTTCCATATTTTCTGGTTTTTTGTCTTCCCCACCACTTCCCATATTTTCCCATATTTTCAGAGGATGGACGATTAATTGTGTCTGTGTGTTTCTTTCCCTCCTGAAACATACGGGAGCAAATGAAAATACAACAGCGAGTACAACAATAGACTCGCAGTCTCCACTCGTCGTGCCAGCTACCCGTCGTCTTCGCATGAAGTTCCGACGCTGCTTCACGGTCAAGCCAAAGCCTCGTGACTTCGCTCTTCCATGGCCCATTCTCCGAGAGAGGGGGCCGGCGGCAGGGGGCGAAGCTCTTACGGATCATTTCCGATGTTTTTTTCGGCGGGACATGTTCTAGATGTTGGAGCCTATTTGGAAGGAAGGCCAGCGCTGCAGCGGAAACAAGATTCGGAACGAGCGGAAGCGCGGAAATGAGGCCAGCGCTGAAGCGGGAGCACTATTCGGAACGAGCGGAAGCCCGAAAATGAGGCCAACGCCTCAGCGGGAGCAACATTTTGGAAAAAAACAGCGAAAACCCGTTTCCCGGGAATCCTGTGTAAAACAGGCAATACGCGGAGGGGGGCCGGATATCTTCCGGACGTCGTCAGGGGAAAGCGGAGGGTAGTATTCATATTGTGGAATTGTCAAGAGGAGGAGAAAGAGAAGAAGGAGGAGGAGGAGGAGGAGGAGGAGGAGGGGAAGTGACCCTTCAAGCACCTCCTCACTGTCCTCCTCAGTATTCGCCTCCTCTGGCAACCCTCCATAATATCCCTCCTCCTCCTCCTCCTCCTCCGCCTCTTGCGTGAAAGATATGAGAGGAAGGAGGGCGAGCAGCATGAGCGATAGAAGGCGGAGGTCGAGGAGTGATTGATGGGAGCATTAGAAAGAGCAGGATGAGGAGGCGGAGAGGGTTCTGCTGATGAGCAGGTGGATGATGAGGAGGAATAGCAAAGGAGAAGCACCGAGCACGGAGTAGAGCCGAAAGCGCCACATGCCCATCCAGTCTGGCGCCACGTAACAGATGAGTGGGCAGAGGATGCGGATGAGGTGTAGGAGGAAGAACATGAGAGTGCGGAGGATAAGATTGAGGGGGAGTGATAAGAGGAGCAGCAGGAGACGTACGATGAAGAGGACGAGGAGGGGGGATAATGACGATAAGGTGGTGGACATCTGGCGGGGTGAAGGGTAATGAAGAGAATTAGGGTGAGAATGACGAGGGAAACGCTGATGATGTGGAGGAGTAGCTCGTCTTCATCCTCATCATCGCCATCATCGTGATACCATCAGTCCCCTTCCTCAAGCCACTCATCCGTATCATCATCCGTGTTCTCCTCCTCATATCTGGGAGGAAGAGGAGGGGAATATGCCCGAGAATAAGAGAAGGGTTGAGGAGGAGTGCCTGAACGAGCAGCAATATGCGTAGGCAGAAGAAGAAGAGAAGAGGAAGGATGTGAGAATACTGCGGCGGAGAATTGAATGGCATCAGGAGATACGACTCATCATCCCTCGACTGAAAGTGGCGGGCCGTGTGTGCCTGTATCCGAGAGCTGGGGATAGCAAGCATCCTCGGCGTCGTCATCATCTGCACCACCGAGAGCCCAAAACATCGTCATCATCAATGCCATCACCTTCTGCAATTTGAAAAACTTGAAAACGCGGGGTGCCGTTATGCCCCCCCCCCACCCCGGTTTGTGGGCCCTTCCCCCTTCCCCCTCTCCGCCGCCCGCCCCATCGCGGTGGCGGACCCGCGCGGCAGCGCAACTGAATATGTCGGGCCCGACAGGCAACGTAATATATTTACAAATAGAAACAAGTCGGCATTCGCGGTGTCGAAGAGCCCCCCCTGGGTCCCGCACTCGTCCGCATCTTCATCTTGTCCATTGAAGGCGTCAGGAGAGGTTCTGTCCAGATGTCCAAACAAGATGCACGTGCTGTCACACCAGCGGGCGGAGCACGTGTTGTTCGAATCAACTGGCCCGCGTGTCAGCTTGAAAAGCGCTGGCAACGAAATTGAACATGTACAAAGCTCGCTCCACGAGCGCACGCCATTTCGCGTGCGTCGACCTCGCTGCGCAGAGCACCCCATTTTCGGAAAACTCCCTCTGTGGGGACGGGATGCAGCAGACCAAGCAAAGCACACAAATAAGCCGAGGATGAAGGAAGGGAACGATGAGGGGAACCGAAGCTTAGTCAGGAGATCCAAGGGTGTGTGTGTGCGTAACAACCAAAGCCTCTGAGTAGGCCGTGGGAGGCCCCGAAATCTACGAAGGCAGGGTGAGGTGATCCTCCCCCTCCTCCTCCTCCTCCTCCTCCTCCTCCTCCTCCTCCTCCTCCTCCTCCTCCTCCTCCTCCTCCTCCTTCGCCTCCATTTCCTCTGCCATCGTGCCGCGAGGTGCGAAGTGGAGCAGGCCCCGTCGAGTGTCTTGAAGTGGGCACTCTCTACGTTTGGCAATCAGCACGGGGGTCCCCCCCCGACGGGGATCAGCGTCAACCTGTCCGCGCGGCGCGACGGGTGTCAGATTCGCCCCATCGGCGCACCGCGGGGGGGGGGGGGGCGAGGTCACTGCTGGCGCGGCACCGTCTGCCCGCGACGGGGGTCGTTTTGGGCCTGTCGACGAAGGTGGCGGCCTTCCCCCCACGTTGGCAGAGGGA